GCGCCCCTCCCCGGGGCCGGGCAGGGGAACGGCCACGCCCCCTGGCGCCTGGCAACCCCAAATGGTTGGGGACCACTGCACTATAGTAATGTATTACTGTTAACACATTGGCTGTGTGTCCTTTCTTCTTCCTTGATTCTTACTTACCTATACTTATATCTTCATGATTACCAAAAATGCCAAATAAAAAAAATGTAACTCAAGATCATGCAATTGCTGAAGTTGCTTCTGGAGATATTTGCTTCCCCCCCATCTGGACTTTTGTTTCCTCTGGTATTTATTTGCAATCTGCCAGATGAAGATCTGAAGGGAGTTTGCCAGATCTGGGGCTGCATCGTTCAGCACATCTGGAAGTGGTTTATGGGGCTCTCTCAGTCCAGGCAGTGCAACGTCTGGATTCTGAGCAGCTTCACAGAGGCAGAAAAAGGAAAGAAAAACCAGCACCACTCCAAAAGACACTGGAAGGATTTGAAAAAGGATCCCCAGTTTAAAAGCATTACTGTAGCCCTTTAAGGCTCTTGTACCTAGGATTTCCAAAGGGAGTCATGGGCAAGGCAGTTTTGGCATGAGTGCTTGCAGTTTTGGGTCAGCTAGGAACCGAGTGTTGCTGCCTTGCCATTCTTCTGGAGAAAGAAGCTGCGAGTGCTGAGCTGCGTTTGAAAGGTAAAGACTAATTAAGCAGGAAATATCTAAACAGTAATGTCACTGTTTCATACTCGGCTTTCCCTGCTGCCGCCCCTCATTTTGTTATATGATCTGGCAATTGTGTCTAGAGACGTCAGATTCCAGTAATCCACGTTTAGGAAAACTAGGGCAAATGTTTGCAGAGTAACAAGTCATTTCTTTCTTCAAAAGCTACAAAATGCAGACCATCGGGATTAAGAATCTTTTCAAATTTTGAACTAAAAGTTTTATTATATGTGAATCTTTCTAGGTTGGGATTTTAAAGTTTGAAATCTTGGTGCAATTTGGGCTGTTTTAATTATTTCTGGAGTTAGCGGGGGGTTATGACAGGCCAGCTGCATATAGCAGTGACTACAAGTTACATTTACAGTGTGGGGCAAATTCTAATTGCAAGAGAGAAATCCTGGTCCAAAACTGCCATTGATTTCAGTGAGACCAGGATTTCACCCCAGCAGTGAGAATTTTGTCCACTTACCAAAATTACTTATTCAAATTTCCAGACTAGAAAGAAAACAATATTTGTGTGCTGTGCACAGGAGAGATTTCTAAAGGCAAAGCTCTTCCCTTGGCTGATCTGTAAATCTGTGCCTTTGGAGAGAGCAGAATATTGGACTCTAGATAAACAATGCAGAGTCCTAAAATAACTTTTACTTTCCATGATGTTTATTGATCTGTCTTTTTCAAACCAGTTGCGATATGTACATGCATATAGATTGTTCTATTTAGAATTGAACCTGTCAATCAAAATTGGAGACTGACTCAAACTCTTTCCATAAATTCAGAATTAACCAATAAAGAACTGTATTTTGTGACTCAGCTTTCAAGAATTCATACCACTCTAGCCTCTTCTCTATCCTCTTTGCAGCAAAATGAACTATATTTAAAAATAACCAACAGAATATCGGTATCTCTAGGGAGAAAGAGAAATTGCACATGCTTCGATTGTTTTCTTTTTGCTTTGGGGATGTGTTGTTGTTCTTGTTTATTTTCGTTTTGGACATCTTATCTCATGTCTTGAATGTTTCCTGAAGTTTCAATTTGCTTTCATCAGTTTACAGGCCTCAGGATGCAAAAAGAAGTTCCCCTAAACATATTGCTCCAAAATATGACTGACCCCTCCATAAGTGCAGTAGAGGGGCAAGAAGACTTGCTGTGCGTGGGAGCACTAGGAATGTGGGTTGGCTAGCACCGAAGGCATCTCTTATTACTAACTAGATGTGGGGCAACATAAAGGCCTTGGCTGTGTTTTCTGTACACAACACGCTGTGTTGTCATGAGAGCCTTGTGGGAGTATCAAACTAATAACCTTTTTGTTTCCAAATGTGTACCTTGTGTTGTATTTTATTTTTAAAAAGAACCTTTTACAAGGGTTTATTTAAAAGCCTATATCCAGGGAAGAAAAAAATAAGCAATATTAATTTTTTAAATGATGGAACAGAACATCTATAAGACCATCATTAAAATCAGTGTGAGTTGTGACAGACCCAAATTTGAACCCATAAATTGAAAAAAAAATAATAATCTGCTTTTTACTATTAAGATTTTCGAACTTCGTACTACCTAAAGTGCAAAGAAAAAAGTAATTTGGCTTCTAAAATAATAAAAAAGTGGTTTTCCCCCCATAAATATCCATTGAGGGAATTTAATACATTCCTCAGAGGCATCTGATACTGGCCACATTCAGGGCTCCATTACAATGACAGTTTTAAGGAAACTTCTACAGGCAGTCCCCGGGTTACGTACAAGATAGGGACTGTAGGTTTGTTCTTAAGTTGAATCTGTATGTAAGTCGGAACTGGCGTCCAGATTCAGCCGCTGCTGAAACTGACCGCCAGTTAGACGGGGGGGCAAAGCAGAGCCAAGCCGCGGAGCGCGTGGGCAGCGGATAACCCTGTCCGCTGCCCGCGTGTTCCACCGCTTTGCTTCCTCTCCGTGGTCTGCTGGAGACCAGGGAGAGGAAGGGCCCCGTTCGTAACTGCGGGGACTGCCTGTATAAGCAGTAATAAGAAGAGATCTTTAAAAATGTTAGGAGCATGAGGAAGACATCAGAAAGTGTTAGTCTGCTTAGTGAGGAAGAAGATCTGATGACATCAAGAAGGTCTGGGAGGTTTAATGCCTATTATGCTTCAGGTTTCATTAAAAAGATTAATGGTGACCAGATATTTAATACAATTATTCACAACACGAGGGAAGAACCCAAGACAAAATAGGAAAATAACAGATTAAAGAATATTGTGATACTCGGGCGGCAGGACCGCGAGGGCCCGCAGTCCGTGTACTCTGGGGCAGCGCCGTTCGTAAGTGCGGATCCGACGTAAGTCGGATCCGCGTAAGTCGGGGACTGCCAGTAGTTGCTCCAGTGTTGTAGATGATGTGTGTCCTCACCTATCTCTTGTTGCTGCAACCTATTGATTTATGCTGTCCCCTGGTTGCTGCAACTGGGGAAATTACACTGATGTGAAAGCAGTGGTGGAAGAGTTCCCTAACATTGTCAGTATGGACACAGCCCAGGAGATAGGATTCTAGTCTAGGTAGCTACTTTGTCTAATCTAGTATGTCAATATCTATGTTGCTGTGTGTTTGATTGCAACAAGTTTTAGAAAATGTCATTGTGGTGTTAATATTTGTTGTTCAGCTGTATGAGGAGTCAAGGATAATTTCAACAGATTAAAATACCGACAGATGCATTTTGTGGATATATTGTGTATTTGCATGTGTTTTATTTTCTGTTTTACATTAAGAAAAATCTGTTATAAAAATGTTGCAAGTATTGCCAATGTAAGTGACTGTACTTAGTTTATCTAAACATTGCTTGTTTCACTTTGAAACTGGGTTGTGTATTTAAAACATTTTTTGCTTTTTAATTTCTGGATTATATAAAATCAAATTGTTGTCCAAAAATATGTAAATATAATACCTTTTCATAAAAAAGCTTTGTAAAGTTGGGATCCAATCTTGCTTTCTTTCAAGTCAAAGGCAAAACTTAATGATGCAAAAATTGGACCCATAAAATACTAAAGAAATATTGATCACTGTTTTTCTAACTTCTCTCTTTCTCTCTCTTTTTTAACTACAGATTGAATTTCTTAGCCAAAGCAACATATGGCTCTGTTAAGGAAAAGTAAGGAAGATTCAGAATACTTCAATATCAATGTGATTAACATAGTTTTTTTAAACAGCTAGATAACAATCATGTAAAAATTTTACAGGAAATTGTATAGGAGGGTTGCATGCTAATTTATCACTACAATTCTGCAAAGCAATTAATTTCCTAATTTCACATTTATAATGAGTAACCCCTTCCCTGCTCAGCAAAGCACCCAAGCATGCTGTTTAACCCCACTGAAGTCAATGGGAATATTCGTGTGTTTTTCTGTATTAAAGGTTATAATGAGGGCATCCAGTCCTGACACATACTTAACACTTGCTAATTCCAGTGAAATGAATAGGGCAGATTCAGAAATGAAATACAATGGGGTGTAAATTAGGAGTCAGTAAAAGTGGGTGAGTCTAAACAGATGTAATTTACATACTGAGTGTCTGGTAATAGATTTAAGAGGAAGTAAATTAAAATGTGTGCAAGAGGCTGGTTTAACACACATTTCTTACATTTTCCCTGTATGTTTTCCTGTTACATGCCTCTGTCAGTCTTTGGTATGGAAATCATACAAATGAAGACTTTCTTCTATCTGTTCACCAACATGTAACTTGCATCATCTAGCACATCACTTCTGAATTTGAATCAATGGAGAAAATCTTGAGATGCGCCATTCTGTGTTGTCTTGACTGACATTGAGAACAGAGAGGCTGCAGATGGCTTCTCATCAGGTTCACAGCTAGGTCTGTTGGAGTTATAGAAGCTCTTGCTTGGAAACGGTTCCACCTCTTCCTAGACCCATCTGTGATCCTGATCATGGAGGAGCCATCGAAGCTATTGCAGTGTTGAGGCAAAATAGAACCAGTTTGCAGGAAGGAAACAGCCATTCAGGGCCTGGGGCTCACTTTGAGTCTTCCAAGATAGTCAGTGAATGGTTGGCAGTTTGAAGGGGCTGTGCTATCTCCCAGATCCCAGTTTTCTGGAAGCATGGAGAGTGTTGGTGTGGATGAGTCCTTCACTTTCTTGGTGAACAGTTTTGTTGTAATGCTATCAGTTGGTTCCATAGGCCAGTGACTTCCCTCGTTGTCAGTCAGCTGGGGGGTGCCTGCCTCCCAGTATGCCCTCACTTGATCCATGCAATCCCATTGAAATCAATGGGTCAGCTCATCAGCTGTTGTAAACAATGATTGCTCTGTTATTCTTGATCCATTCCAATTTACACCAGCTGTTGATTTGGCTCAAAAGATTTTTACAGGTGAAACTCAGGGCAGGGTTCTGGGTTTTTTCTGTGTTTTGATCATTCTGAGCACACTTATGATGCTACATAACTAATAACATAGAATTGAAGATGACATTTGGCAAATTCATTGATGATGCTTATTTGCCTTTAACCTATCCAGTAACTTCCTACTCACTCAGGGGTGATTGTTAGATTGTGTAAGTATTCAGTCCAAGACAGACTTCTGGTAGAAGCTGAGAAATCAAAATATACAGTAAGGCATTTGATTGTTGCATGCTCTGATTTTGCCAAGTAAAGTACTAGAATCAAAATATTTATATCTCTGCAAATATTTTTGAACAAGCACAGTTTCTGTGGCATGCCAAGTTTGTTTGTGATGTTTTTAGAGTTATCCTCAAATAGATGATGAATGGTTAAATTATTTCATTGAAATAATCTAAAATCCTTTACTGTTTGAAAGTCCAGGCAAAGGAGTTTGGGGTAAAGGAAAAGGACGGATAAGGTTAATTCTGAAATCCACAGGATAGCCAGAAAAAAGTTCCAAAATCAGTGTATGGGCGTTTTATATGGCTCTCACACATTTTAAAATCAGTACATCAATTTATACAAATAAAGAAAAATTGTACATTCTTTGTTACCCTCTAGATATGTGTATGACTTACAATCAAGCTCATAATCATGTTCTCTTCCTCATCCTTCCACTTTCTTCCCCTTCCCGGTATTGTCAGTTCGGCCTTAGCTTAGGAACTGGTTCTGCAAAGAGTTGTTATTGACTATATTGCTTACTAGCACATATACCTGAGGGTGTATTATCTTTTCCAAGCAATATCCACTGGGGATGATGGACAGCACTCTGTTCCCTATCTGCTCCCCCGTACCACTTAGTCCCACCCATGTTTGAGCCATAGAGTGTGAGGAGCAAAAAACCTGAGAGGTCAGTATCACAAAGGTGGCTGGACCACCATTCTGTGCGAGAGGAGGGATGCTTGTATGTGTATTAAGTATATAATCAGTGTTCCCTGTAAGTTATGCGCTTGTGCAGCTAATCAGGAGAGATTCAAGCACTACCCAGCTGATTAGCAGAGCGCCCACAGCTAGGTTTGTGCTTCTACTGGTGGTGCACATTCACACATGCCTCGGTGCAGATAACATTTATTCTGCATATGGATGGAAAAGAATAGAGAAAACATTGTATACAATACCCCCACTTTGGTGTTGGAAACAGTTTGCAGCACCACTATAGAAAGGCTATGTCTACACTGCAGGTATTTGTCGGCAGAGAGTATGCTAATGAAGAGCTCATTAGCATTTGTCATGCTCTCATTTGCATATCCTCTTCAGATCCTTTTTGCGCAAGAGGTTTTTGTGCAAAAACCCCCTTTTGCACAAGAACCTGTAAACCTCATTTTTTGAGAAATAAGGGTTCTTGTGCAAAAACCTCTTCTGCAAAAAGGATCGCGCGAGAAATGCTAATGAGTGCTTCATTTGCATTTCCTCTTCCAGAAAAAGACTGCAGTCTAGATATAGCAAAAGTGTGCATGAGACCATTCCGACCAAACCTGTACCTTGCTTTCTGTAACTATGGTGAAAATGGATTTGTCTCAGCTACAACAGCAGTTAAAATCATTTTCAACAATAATTAAGGAGAAAATGGGGATCAAATCTATGGCTGCTGCCAACCATTTTCAGCAACAGGTAATTTTCCTAGGGTAAGTAGCCCTTGAATAATATGCTTAATGATTTGGCAGTTAGCTTGTTTTGGAAGCATTTGCAATCAGAAGAGCCTTGAATACCGAGACATCTGGAAAGAACAGACTGCAGATTGTTGATAATACTTCAGATGGGCCACAGTGCAAATTTTTAAGCAAATCTTACAAGCAGTTTTTGTTTTTAATTCAGTCAAAGAGCAAGTGAGATGAAATTTTCAACACAAATGCAGGAATATAGTAAATGGCAGCTATGTAGCTGGTAAAATGAAAATACGGGTATTTAAGTAATTAGTATTAGTTTTTATACTAACTTTCAACCTGTTGTCCTCTTTTATTTCAGTTAATCAGATCTTATTATTCCTACTTGTTTTGACTATCTGTGTCATTCTGTATAATAAAGTTCACAAGGTGCCAGCTACATTAAATAATGAAACAGGTAAGTAGCTCATTAGTTTTTTTTATTTAGGTTTAATGGTAACTGAGCACTGGTTTCTGTTTCTGTTGTAGGATAAACAGAATCACTTGTGTCTTTTTGACATAACCTAGAGCAAAGACCTTTCAATTTCTTGATCAGCTGATTTGAATAAGACCAGGTCAGTAGTGACTAAGATTCTCCATGGTGATTCAGGGACTGATCCTACCCTCCTTCAGGCAGCCATGAGAGTAACTTGAAGTTTCTTACAGGTACTGTCCTCTTGCAATCTGGGTGCCTGCCAGCTCTTTAAATAGCTCCCTGCTGGCTTTTGCCACAGCTCAGCCAGCTCTTGCTGGCTCTTGCCCTGTGCACCAGGGCGTGCTGCTTACTTTCACCTCTGCCTTCAGGTCAATGAGAGTTTTTCTGTTCATGTCAATGGGAATTGGATCACAATCTCATTTCAGATACTAACAGAGAAATCTATTGCTAACAACAGTGATGATGGTTTTTAATGATGGGGAATCTGCCTGCGGAGACCCAAATGAGACCACCAATTCATTTCCAGCAGGTCATCCAACCAATCTGAGCCAGCTGACCAGTTACTAAAGACTTGTCTGCATTAGAAAGCTTTTCTGCTTTAACTGTTCTGGATACAATTATACGGGCATAAAAGTGTAGGGACTAAGCTGAAGTTGTGTAAATCCCCTTTAGAAAGTATCACTACTTTCACATTAGGGATTTTACCAATATAAATCTGTTGATTTTTAAAAAATCACACTCCCAAATGCCATGGTTATACAAGTAACATGTTTTAAATGCAGACCAGACCTTAGGAGTGAAATGGTTCGTAGCATAGGCCAGATCTAAACTACAGACTTCTGCTGGCATATGTCAGAGTATGAAGAGGTGTGATTCTTGAGCACCTCAAGAATCTGCATAGACAAAAGCCCCTAGTGTAGACACAGCTACATTGGCAATCCTGTGTTTTTAGCAGTATAGCTTGTTTAACTGGCAGGATGTGATTATAGTGTTCAAAGCACAGCTGTATCTACACATGGAATGCTTTGACAGTGTGAAGTCTACCGGTATTCCTGTTTCAGTACATTGCTCCTAGTATAGAGTTAGCCTTGGTATCTATGTGTGCCAGTCTCAATGCTGTTAATAGCGTTGCCCTGCTCTTCTCTGTCAGGGCCGGCCCACAACATTTTGGCACCTGAGGCGGGGAGCTCAAATGATGTCCCCATGCTCCTTCACTTGGGCCAAAACTTTGAAAGGTCTCAATTCTGCCTTCTTCCTGTTCTACTCCTCTCATGGTACTGCTCTGCTACCTATATATGCACCAGCAGCAGACTCAATTTTCTACACTCTGGGTCTTAGTAGCACCCCCCCCACACACAGTCTGGCACCTGAGGTGGTCGCCTCAGTTCGCCTCATGGTAAGGCCAGCCCTGTTCTCTGTTTAGCAGCTTCCTGAGCCTTGTAACGCTTTTGCTCTGTTAGATTCTAGTTTATACAACGCATATAAAAGACGTGGTCTGTCATAAAATGGTGCTGAATTCTGTACAGCAATTTGTGCTTTTGCTATATGCAGTTGATTTGGAGAGCCCCGAGGAATTGGAAGAAGAAATTCCAGTGGTGCTTTGTGCTGCTGCGGGTAGAATGGGCGCAGCTGTAGCAGCAATCAGCAGCATCTACAGCAACACGGACGCTAATGTTTTGTTCTACATTGTTGGCCTAAAGAACACGATTCCACATATCAGGTAACAGTATTTATCAAAAACCATTCATTTTGCTGCTTAGCTAGGGCCAGATTGTCACTGGGCTTTGTACTGCTGCATTGGGGAGGACTCAGGGAGTCATTCCTGCCCCTTGTCCAAAGGCTGTTGCAGTCAGAGATCCTGTGGTCCCCTGGGTTCAGGGGCTGCTGCCTACTAGCCTTATTGGGGGCACCAGCCAACTCAAAAGGGGATAAATTGAACTTCTGAGGGTGCTGGACCAGGGAGATCCAACCTCTAGTATAAGCCAGGTGATGGCTACTGCCTGGAACCAACCAGCGGCAGAAAGGACTCCATGCTGCAAGATGGGACAGCATGTGTTTCTGCTGCACAATCCCTCTTGAAGCTCCCTCTGGAAAAGTGCGGCTTTGCACTACTCCTTATTCAGGTGCTTTAAACTTCAGAGGAGAAGAACAGATAGAGCAGGGCTAAAAAAAGAAAGGAGAAAAAGGAGAGGCAAAGGTTATAAACATGGCACGATCATGCAAAATTGTAGGTAGTGTTTAAAGTGAGGTGAATTGAACCCAGGTGCATACTAAGGAATAAATCCATCAGTGAAGGGGGCCATAACAATCTCGTTCAGGACGCTCTCTCTCTCTCTCGACTATATACAGACTTACAACTATAGTATCTCAATAGTCTTTAATGTGTTTATTGTCCCAACATATCTGTGAGGTAGAGCAGCACCGTTAACACTATTTTACAAATAAGGAACTGAGGTCCAGAGCCTCAAAAGTGTTTAGGCATCTAACTATCTTTGAAAGATGAAAGGTAAGAGGCTAAGTGCCTTGGAAGAACTGAGCCAGGGAAAATAAGTTACTTGCACTGGATGATACAGGAGGTCTGTGATGGAACAGGGTCTCAAACTCAAGTCTGGTAAGATCCCTAAAAGATGCAAATACCTGTCAAGTTGCGGCCCAAGAATTGAATCTGAAATAGAGCTGGTCAAAAGATGGAGTAAAGTGTGAAAAAAAAAGACAAAAAACTCCACGTATTTTTAATTGTAAGTGTTTTGTGTTTGTTTTTAAACCACTAATCTTAAATATAACCTGGGCATCTGCCACTAAGCACTTTGACATTTGATAGTGAAGGTTCCTGTGGTTTTCTGTAACACATTTTTATAATTTCTCATTCATTTCAGAAAATGGATTGAAAATTCCAAACTGAAAGAAATAAAGTATAAAATTGTGGAGTTCAACCCTATGGTACTAAAAGGAAAAATAAGACCAGATGCATCACGACCTGAGTTACTCCAGCCTGTGAGTAAGCAAATACCGCCTATCACCAAAACAAGAGCTGTCACCATCTCAAAATTTCAATGAAGACTGAAAGTCTTCAATGAGCTTTGTGCTCTGCTCCTTCTTGCAGAACCGCTGGGGTATTAGAGGTGTTACACTGGTTGGTAATAACATTTGATAATTTTTTTTTACTAGACTAGCATTCCTCTTGTGGCAAGTGCTTCTACTCCACCTTGTCACTCTTCTGCTCTGTCTCTTGGGATAGAGCCCCCTTTATATGTTGTCGAGGATCCTAGCAAGTAGATCACCTGACAGGATTAAACCCTGGTCTGACCTGGTTAAATCTTGCCCAGGCCATATACTTGGGCTGACCAGTGGGGAGATCAAGCTTGACTAGCACCTTAGAGATCTGTTACACTTTTGTTGAAATGTACCGGTAATCAAAATAAGCAGTGTTGCTGCCTTGCCCTCCAAGACCTTAACTCCTAAGAGATTACAATTTTTTTCTTAAACATCACTCAGAAAAGAACCAACAATGAAATGTCAAGACACTCATAGGGAGGCTATCACTGCAGCATAGTCCCTGCTATTTTGCCCATCTTCCTGCATGGGATTTTATCTGCTTGGGACTTACTATTATAACTTTAAGAAATTAAATGCAGCTGCAACTGCGAACTGACTGTGATCTGGGCTAGTCTCCCAGTATAATTCAGAGACTGAAGTCTACTCTAAATTATACTGGCTGCCTGCAACTGCTATTGTCTGATGTGGAAGACAAAGCTTGCTAAAATATAAGGAAGCTGCAAATTTGTCCCCTTTCTAGGGTTGCTAACTCTTCAGGATTCTCCAGAAATTAAAGATTAATCTTTAGTTAAGGATTATGTCACGTGAAGAAATCTTCAGGAATAAATCCAGCCAAAATTGGCAACCCTACCCCTTTCCTTCTGCCCTGTCCCCTGCTCTCACAGCAAGAGCTGTTATAAGAGATGAGATTAAGGGCCCAAAGGAGACCAAGATCTGGGATGGGGTCATTTAGGGCAAGTGGAGAGGTTAAGAGAAGGCAGAAAAGAAAGCTCATGGAGTCCTAAACTAGCATTTTGAAAAGCCTCCTCTTTCGAAAGAGCCCTTCTTCCTTGTGGGAGGAAGAAGACAGGGCTTCTTAAAGAGCGCGTTTGCACTTCTGCAAAAAAAAGCAGAAGAGCAGACTCATTCCCTGTAGGTAGTGGAGTTTTTCCGGGATACCTCCTGGTATTCCAGGAAAACCCCATAGTCTAGACATAGCCTAGGGTTGCTATGCCATGCCTATGCTGGTGAAAGATTTCCTTATGCTGGGATGATTCTCCTGTAGTTAGCTGTGCGGCTTTTAGGAACATTTTGTAGTGAGAGTGCTATGAAAAGCTGCTGCAAAAGATCTGGGCTGTTGTGAATAAATACTGACCACTGAGCCTATTTTAGTTTTAAAGTTAAAGTAACAGGCTAAATATTTGGATGTAAGCACCCACGCAGACGGAGTCTCAGAGCAGGAAAAAGGTGATCTTCTTCGAGTGACCCCGAGGGTGCTCTAGTCTAGGTGTCGGGTCCATCCCGGCGCCACTGATCGGGAGATTTCATAGCCATATCGGGCCGGACCGCACATGCTCCCTGCGCCGCTGGTCATTCGCGCCCTTTCTAACGTGCGCGGCTCGGCCCCCCCGCCAGTTCCTCTCAACTGTCCTCGGTTGCTAACAGGAGCTGGCGATCTCTCTTCGGTCACTTACCCGTGTAAATAGTTAAACTTTAGTATCAGTTAGTTATTAGCCTTTGTTTAGTTAGAAAAGAAGAGGAAAAAAAGAGAAAAGAAGATAGTTTTAGTCAGTTACGCGCTGAAGCGCTTTTCTTGTCAGTTTCACCATCATATCCGGATCGTCCGGCTTTAAGCGGTGTGTTCAGTGTAAAGAGGCAATGCCCGCTTCATTGCCTGGGGGAGTCTCATGTCACTAGCAAATGTGTGCACTGCTGTAAACTAACACGAGTCAGAGACCTACGCCTGAAATCGATCCCTAGGGATCATTCACTGTCTCCTTCTGTGCCTTCAACAGATCCTTCCCCACCCCATTATCCAGTATCGGGAAGGGGACCTTACTCTCCGAGGCTTAGGTCTTCGCGTTCCCCGCGACAAAGATCTCGCCATTATTACAGATGCACATCTCGCTCTACGAGTTACTCCCCTCCAAGATCTCACCATACTAGACATGGCAGTAGATACACTTCCAGAAGGTCATCTCCTGATTCTGACTATCATTATCACAGGAGTTATTACACGGGGAGGCAGGGCAGATCACAGTCCCATTCTTATTTGTGTTGCTGCCGCCAGTCATCTTACAGACGCCGCTCGCCACCTGTCTTTGACCACCAACCGCTGCAGTCACCCGGACCTCCTCCTAGTGCCCCTTCAGTTTCGATCCTGTCGGAACCTGAAGAGGGTCAAATCTCGGACACGGATGAGCGGACACCACAAACTTCCCCACAGGATGCCCAGTCGTCTTCTCCCGATGACGCAGTTTTTGCAATGGACTCCTCACCACCAGATGACACCCGAGAATTTCAAGACCTCTTTAAGACTATGGCACAATCACAGGAGGTTCAGTTAGTGGAGGTGAAAGCAAAGCAGTATAAGTTACTAAAGAACTTGCACCCTAGACAGCAATCTAAGGTGGCTCTACTGCTGGACGAGGCGATCCTGGAGACAGCCACAGAAATTTGGAATACGCCGGCTTCCACTACTCCATCATGTAAGCAAGCTGAGAAGAGATACTTTATATCTTCAAAGGGTGCTGAGTTCCTTTTTACTCACCCTCAACCAAACTCGGTGGTGGTGGATGTAGCTCTACAAAGAGCAAAGAATCCGCAAGTAAGGAATTCAGCAGCAGACAAGGACGCAAAGAGACTGGACATATTCGGAAGGAAAATATACTCCTCTTCAACACTTCTCCTACGTATCGCAAATTATGCAGTGTTACTTTCTAATCATAGTTTTGACAACATTGCAAAATTATCGGACAAGATACTTCTCCGATCCCGACAAAATACTTCTCCAATCTATACTGCAGGAAGGCTATGCATGTGGCAGAGCAGGTTTGCAAATTGCCATGGATGTGGCAGACACAGCAGCTCGAACAATTGCAACAGCAGTTTCCATGAGAAGAGCTTCATGGCTTGCAACCGCTACTGTACCAAAAGAGTTGCAATCCAAGGTCGAGGATCTTCCATTCGACAGGATTAAGTTGTTTGCAGAGAAAACGGACGAGGTGCTCCACACGGGCAAAGATTCCCGGGCCACCTTACATATCCTCGGGATGTACGTTCCACCTTTCCGCTGTAAGCGTTATTTCCCATTCCAAAGATGTTACGAGTACCAATTTCGCAGACAGCAAAACCGTCCATATGATCAAAACCAGTCCAAGCAGAGGACACAGCGCAGACACCCTCAGACATCTAGGGCGAATAACACAGTGACACCCAAGCAGCAGGTTTGACTCCCAGTCGAGGGCATGCCGAACATTCCTGTTCTAGTCAGAGACACCAATCCCATTTTCCAACATCAGCTGCGACCCTACAACCATCAATGGGTTGCCATATCATTGGACAGATGGGTTTTGGAAATGATAAAATCTGGACTCACCATCCCATTCACATCCCTTCCTCCCACTTCCCCTCCCATCCTGTCCCTTTTCAGGGACCCTTCTCACGAGGCTCTCTTACACCAGGAGGCCTATCGCCTGTTAGAAATCGGAGTGATAGAAGGGTCCCAGACTGCTTCAGGGGAAAAGGGTTCTATTCGAGGTACTTCCTAACTCAAAAGAAAACGGGGGGTTGGAGACCCATACTCGATCTACGAGGGTTAAACCATTATCTGCGGAAGCAGCGATTCAAAATGGTGACTCTGACTACGATCGTTCCTTCTCTCAACACCGACGACTGGTTCGCGGCCCTCGACCTCCAGGATGCCTACTTTCATGTGCCCATACACCCTGCGCACAGGTGATTTCTGCGATTTGTTATAAGCAACGAGCACTTTCAGTATTGCGTCCTTCCGTTTGGGCTGGCTTCGGCTCCAAGAGTCTTTTCAAAGACCCTCGTCGTTGTCGCCGCCACCTTTGTCATCTCGGAGTCATCATATTCCCTTATCTGGACAACTATCTCATAAAGGGAACATCACGACAGGAGACGACGCAGATGCTTTCAATAGTCAGAGAGACTTTCAATTTACTTGGTCTGATAGTAAACGAACAAAAGTCCATGTTAATTCCAACACAGAACATAAAGTTCATAGGAGCAGTTATCGACTCCCGTGCAGCGAGAGCGTATCTGCCCAGGGACAGATTCCAGGCAATAAAAGACTTGGTCAATCTTCTTCACAAAACCGCAACAGTCTCAGCACATACTTGCCTGCGCTTGCTCAGCCACATGGCTGCAGCCATCTTCGTCGTCCCGCACGCACATCTCCATCTAAGAAATCTACAGCACTGGCTGTCAGTGGTGTATGTCCCCACAAGACATGACGTACACAAGTTAGTTACTCTTCCATCCCACGTGCACAGGTCCCTTCGATGGTGGACGAACCCATTAAACGTCCTCACGGGCGTACCGTTTCAGTTAACGTCAGATGCTTCACTCATCGGATGGGATGCTCACATGGGCGAAGAGCGCATCCAGGGACGATGGTCTCACACCGAGAGATGCCTTCACATCAACCAACTAGAGTTGCGAGCAATCTTTCTAGCATGCAAACACTTCCTCCCCAGTTTGACACACAAAAAAGTCAGGGTGTTGACAGACAACGTAGTGGCAATGTATTATAAACAGACAGGGAGGAGCAAGATCATGCTCCCAATGCACCGAAGTGGTACGATACTGGAATCGGTGCATACAGAACAACATAATCATAACAGCATCGTACTTACCTGGCATAGCCAATGTCATTGCCAATTCCCTCAACAGATGCTTCCCCACGGACCACGAGTGGGAGGTGAGGCTGGATGTACTTCAGAGGATCTTCCACAGATGGGGAACGCCCCTGGTAGATCTCTTTGCGACATCCGTCAACAAAAGTGTCGCCTTTTTTGCTCCAGAGCAGGGATCGGCAAAGGATCTCTTGGCGATGCACTCCTGATCAAATGGAAAAAGTCGCTACTGTACACTTTTCCGCCAACAGTCTTCATTCCCAGAATACTAGAGAAAATCAGGATGGAGAGGGCGACAGTAATTTTAATAGCACCAGCTTGGCTTGGCATCCGTTCTTACACAAGATGTCACTTTGACCACCATGGCCTCTGCCCTTGTACCGAGATCTCCTCTCTCAAGACCTGGGATCTCTCCTTCACCCCAAGCTAGAAGCATTACACTTGACGGTGTGGCTCCTGACTGGCTTAGACTAGATGAAAAGCTTTGTTCAGATCAGATCAGGTTCGTATTGATACATAATAGAAAGACGTCTACGCGAAATACTTACCTGGCTAAATGGCGCAGATACTCCTACTGGTGCCTCCAGAATAATGTTCAACCGTTGTCTTCTCCACACCAAATTCTCGAATACATTCTTCACCTGCGAAACTTGAAGCTTTCTCTGGCATCCCTCAGAGTTCACTTGGCAGCCATCAGTGCCTTCCATTACCCAATACAGGGTTCTTCGGTGTTCTCTCACCCGACAACTAGATGATTCCTCAAAGGCCTGATCAATATAAGCCCACCTCAGAGACCACCTCTGCCGTCGTGAAACCTCGACCTGGTACTCGATACAATTATGTATCCTCCATTCGAGCCTCTAGCATCTGTACCATTACAGGTGTTAACCATGAAGACCATCTACTTGCTTGCAATTACATCACACATAGAGTTAGCGAGCGAGGGGCAATAATGACAAATCCTCCTTTTACTTCTTTCTCAAAGGAGTTGGTGACGTTACGATTACGCCCAGCATTCATACCCAAGGTCTCTTTGTCATTTCATATCAATGAACGATCATCCTTCCTTCCTTTTACCCTAAGCCGCATGCCTCAACGAAGGAGGCCCTGCTGCTTTCGCTGGATGTAAGGCATGCTCTTTCCTTTTACAAAGACAGAACCCGCCAGTGGAGACAAACAGATAGACTTCTGATATCAATGGCTCACCAATCTAAGGGTGCTGCATTCTCCACTCAGCGCATTGCCAAGCTTATCACCTTATGCATTACCACATGCCATTCCATTCGGGGTAGACCCTTGTCTTCTCAGCCACGAGCGCACTCGACCAGAGCAGTGGCGACATCTACCACCTTCGCCAGAGGAGTTCCATTAGCAGATATTTGCAGGGCAGCCACATGGGCTTCCACCTCTACATTTATGAGACATTACGATATAGTGCAAAAATGGGCGGTGGACCATGCAGTGGTTTCTGCAGTCCTTTCTACAGTAAAACCTAATTAACCCGGAGCGCTCCTTGTTCCAACTACTGCTATACAGTCACCTAGAGTGGAGCACCCACGGGGGGACTCGAAGAAGAAGAGGAAGTTACTCACCTTGTGTAGTAACGATGGTTCTTCGAGATGTGCCCCGTGAGTGCTCCACGTCCCACCCTCCTCCCCGCTCCGGTGTTGTTTTCTCTCTTTCTCATTTCAGAGACCGAGCGGTAAGAGAAACTGGCGGGAGGCC